CTGTAAATAGGTACTCACTGGACCAATTTTGATAAAATTTTCAACTATACAGATATCAGTGAACAGAATATAATTAAATCTAGTTTTTAGCGTCGTTTCAAAGCACCTTGGCACAAGCAGCGCTATCTGTTGTTCTCCGGGAAAAGTATTTAGGTACCTACCTCTTATTTATTTATTTAAAATCTTTTTTTTTTCACACACAAAAAAAGCAGTACAACAAGCGAACTTAATGCCATATGGCATTATCTGCCAGCTAACCTTAAGCAAAACAGAGAATTTGAGTAGGATCACTTATCGAAATCGTCACAAAAGAAAACGCGTGTACAAGCTAGTTAGAGTTCCATCAAACAGATTAAACCTAGAGATACAAACCGCCAAGGAAGAGATAAAATACTAGACGTAGAAAAGCATTAGTTATGTAGGCAAGCGGCCATCAGCAGCAATTTGCCCGATGTGTGTCAACTGTACATAATTAGGTTCTGGATCCAGTTATTTATAATCATGATAGCTTTATTGCATGTCACTGCGCACCGCGGCGCAGTAAACCTGGTTCAGCGTGGGACATGCGTATACATCCTGTACAGCTGACGTTATTGAATCGGAATCGAGGTTATACGTGCGACTAACATCCACAGCATGTCATTAGGGATTTTGCATTTAAATCCAAGAGATGTTGTTTTTCATGTTAACATCAAGTAATGCCTTTTGCGTGCCGGGTACTGCTTTAAGTAGTGCTATAATACAGACTGTCGAATAAGTCATAGAATAAAATTCATTTTGAAATCCAATGTGTTCGTAAGAGAGTCACATATGACATAGGAATATCGTGGTTCCTGGAACAATCCTGGACGCAGGCCGCTACCAATCGATCAACATGGAAAGTATTGGGGGAGGCCTATGTTCAGCAGTGGACGTCCTATGGCTGAAATGATGATGATGATGATGATGATGATGATGGAACAATTCCCAGGAGGGACACAAACGATTCCATATTCCGGAAGACACTGGCTTTGTCGCTTCGATTGATTCTCGAGTCAGTCGTCTATCGGGGTTCATTCAATTTGACATCAGGGTTGATGGAAATTAGTGCTTTAACCCTGTAACTGGCTTAGGGCTGATTTTACCACCGTCGGATAACTTTTAACTGAAGAATAAGTTAGGCATATTGATAGTTTCAATATGGGAAATAAGTCAAAATGACAAGTTTATTCTGAGATTAATATTTATTCTTGTTTGGTCGAATCCACCCTTAGAGAAAAATATTTTTCATTAGTTTTGAACTATAAGTTATTTTACAAAAGCTAAATATGGTGGCATCAATTCTGCCAGCACCAACTAAAACAGACGTCCTTCTGTGTATTTCTATTTTATGCCCTGCGACTGTCAAAGATTAAATGCAAGATTTATCTGTGAGGGCTGGAAGAAAGTTGTCAATGCCTCGTTAGAACCACAGCCTCGGAGTCACAGGCTGGGTTGCACCATCTTACTTTGACCGTAACTATAACGATAACCGGCGTATTTTCTATGGAGTTTGACAGATTTTTGACGTTTGTCAAAGTTAAAGTAAGATGCAATCAGCCTAATTTTCTATCTTTTTAGGTTTCCGTATTTATGCACGCCGTATGTTTTTCGCAAATTATTAATTAATACCTCGTGTCAAGTTAAATAATTATATTACTGTTACTATCATTCGTTCACCACATTAGTCCAGCGGCGATGGGGTTTGCACCAGCATTTCTCGAATCTCGAGCTGGCCAGTCTGACACGTTCACCGTTGGACTATTGTCGCCATTCGTTAGCGTATTAAGTATGTTGCTTGCTACCCATTAGTAATCACCATATATCTCATTATACGGTCGCTGATTATTCGTAAGTCACTTGTCGTATTATACAGGTGAACATGTACTTCTTGAAAGAATGTTATTAACTTATTAAATGCTATTCAATAACAAGCCTAGCCGTGAAGGCAACATGGAAATCTCTTAGAAACCATTTCGCCCAGGGAAACTTGTCGGGCGAGTGCGTTACAGCGGACGGGGTGTTCATCTCATGAATATGAATCAGTTTTTTTATGTTACAGTAATTGATAAGAAATCGACTTTCGTAGGTTCAAAGATATTACACGATGCAGGTTACTTAGTCCTTATAAAATTAAAATTTAATCGTATTATTTGATGCTGCTAAGAGGACCAATATTGCATTTTTGCCAATTCACTACATGACTGACACAAACCTTCATCAAATGCCCAATCCCCGATTTTTTTGTGGTTGCGGTACCTCTCATATTATAATCGAAAAGATTTTTTTATTTTTATTTTATACACTTAAAAATGTTTCAAAAGAAAAAATAAATTATTTAAACTAGAAGTCATGAATATTTATTGAATATAATTCTAATTGTTGGTACCTTTGTACCTACGTTATTTTTGATGACACCAGCATCTAACCAATGCTATGCTACCATAGTCCGCGCAAATAACTTAGGGAGCTAATTTTAGCTTTATGGCCGCTTTTCAAAACCAATCTTAAAATCAAATACCTACCCAACATAATAGAAATTTCACTATGCTGAATACATCATTTCTCTTTTAGCAAACCACAAAACCATTGTATTTTATTGTATAGCTCTACCTCTTTCTATTAACAGTGAGCCAGAAAGAGCCTTGTATAAACTAGCCAATGAAATCTGTATAATTTCTTTCGTGTTTATATATTTCAGAATAAAAAAGATTCATCAGTTTAACACTTTTTAATAAAATCATAAAATATTATTTGCTTGACAAATCCAATTAACACGCAAGCTTGATAATGGACAAGTCACTTCGCATAGAACGTTACACGAGAAATTGACAAAGATTTTCTTTGTAATCAATTACTTATTGATTATAATCTCAGCGCAGTCAACATAACTTAAAATCAACACATTCTAAACCAAACTGCAGCATTAAGTGTAATCAATCGTAGTGAAAGTCAATATAATAGTGCCGACACATCGGTGATTTTCGCGTTAGTATTTTTTGTTAATCAAATGCATCTTGGAACAATGTCTGCAAAAACTTAAAGTAATAAAAATATAATCGACGACTTGCGTGAGGCATCTTGATAGATATACGATTGAACACGATAGTGAGTCTGTTTGATCCGCATATGAAAATTACATATTTCTTCCATTTATTTATACGGAACATAGTTAACTTTTCTTTTACTCTTGTCAATTGTCGTTTTCTTTTTGATGATTATTGAGAAAATTGATTAAAAACGTAACAGACTATTTGTAAAACATGTGATTAAATTATGATGTACAACCATTTTAGTAACAAATATTTTATAAGTGCAAATTGACAGTAAGTCCAAGTATGGACAGAAAACGCGGCCGAAACCATAGAATAAAGCGAGTGTTAAAATTATAATATTAATCGTTTAATACAATTTACGACGCTATTATAATGTGCGTGTCTCCAGCACTTGCATGCTAAGCAGTTTACTTTCGACTCTACATCATTCTTGTACGTCGATACTTCCTAATAGGGTAGCTTTATTACAATTTATATCAATATGATATTCATAAAAAACACGGTCATGAATAATGTCAAGAATAACAAGTTTGATTCTTTTATTTGTATTTATTCAATCGACATCGAAGTGCGACAGTTTAAATAGGTCACTCATTACATTGCATATAATTGCCATGATACCATGGCGCAAGTGTGCTTGTGCATCGCGCAACGGGCTTAGCAATGGGTTTGATTTAGTAACATTAACTATAAGGCTGGGTTGCACCATCTTACTTTAACTTTGACAAACGTCAAAAATCTGTCAAACTCCATACAAAAAACACCGGTTCCTCTAGTACGAAAAACTTTCGAGTTCGTTTCGTTGCGTATTCAAAGTGTCATCGAAAAATTTTGTATGAAAAATTAAACAGCGCCCCCTATATTATAGCCGCCCTAGGGGGCGCTGTTTAATTTTTCATACAAAATTTTTCGATGACACTTTGAATACGCAACGAAACGAACTCGAAAGTTTTTCGTACTAGAGGTACGGTTCTCGTCAAAGTGACGGTCAAAGTTAGGTGGTGCAACTCAGCCTAAATGTTTATCAGACACAAATATGTAAGTAGGTATATGACCATGACGAATCTCAGGATTAATCTTAGATTTAGATTTGTAACCTCTTTTGAATAGTAACTAGGGCTGTCATTTACGATAATTAGCAAAGATAACTGTGCAGTCATTAACTTCAAAACCTAAATAATCGTTAATTACATTCAAGGACAAACTATGGTATAGGGTGGTGCCAATGGTGCGGAGTGCAAAAAAATTGTTTTCATACCTACACCTATAAGTTATTATAGATAATAATATTATAGATATTGTTATGATCTCTTTAAAACTAATTATCCGGCTTACCTCTTGTCGCGGTGGTTATTTTATTACAGTCGTGTCTAAGCACATATCCTTATTCTATCTAGCTAGTAAATTTATACACCATAGTAAAGAAGTATTAGATTACTGACATGTATCTTTTTGTTTATCATGATCATGGATCTCTCCGTGATCATGGCGCTTGCAACAGTGCCGAAATATCGGTGGCTCGTAAATAAAAAGGTACATGGTAGCAATCCCGTTGACAACTATTCTAATGTTAGTGACCATGGAAGTTTAAAACATTAGTAATGTTAATTTGGGGCTAAGAGTCAAATAAACACGTGTTAAAGCAATTATATCTGTAAATTTATCGCTCACAAAATGTTTTCTGCCTGTTTCTGAGAAAAGACTGTCGACCAACCAACCACACAGAAGCGATTCTCAAGGATCCAATCTTATTTCGAGACAATCAAACCAAACTACAATAAAAAAGCAAAATCCGAGTGAAAACAAGGACGAACCTTGTAAAGAAAAGCTAAGAAGGTCACTCCAGTAGGCCACGTACTAACTGTGTTGAATGACAACTTGGATGCGCGTGCGCCCTGCCCACAATTGAAGTCGGTGTCGCACGGGACACACCCTGTGTTGTAATTGAAATAAAGAGTGGACTGCTAGTAGTTACCGTGGATTTATTAAAAGAACAGTGAGTTTAGTTAAAGAGGTTTAACGCGTTGGTTATCTCGTCAACTACAGTGTGAGGACTTCAAAACAATGTGAGACGCAGTGAATTGAAATTAATTATTTCAAGAAGACAACTCCAAAGATAAACACTGTGATTATAAATAAACCTTCAGGGAATAAAGTATCACACTAGCAATAAATTAAGGCTAACACAAGGAGCCAAAGGATTGAAAGGAGTTTAGTACTTTGAAGATTGAAACCAACACAATCATGAATCGTTACACCAAGATGACTGCCTATACCATGTTGATGATGCTGTGCTTTCAAATATTACCAATAAGCTCGGCTCCACTACAGCTTCAGTACCAAAGCCAGCTCTCTTTGCAACCGACGCCAGAGGAACTGCTGCAGCATCAGCTGTTCGCGTTGCAGCAGTTACAGCAGCTGCAGAATTTGCAGAACTTGCAGATGGTGAACGAACTGAATAACTACTACCCGCAGGCGATACAGTAAGTTTTTATTTTACATTTATAGTTAAGTGTTTTGTCTGATAGTTGACTGGGAGAGAATGCCTCCCAGTTATTACGTAAATCCATCTATTTTTTATTGTTTCAATAAAGAAATAAAGTACGTGTAAGATATTTCTGAACATAAAGACGTATTTAGGAATCCAATTTGCACGTAAAACTATTTTTATATTTTTATTATAATTAGTACACCTGACTACATAAAGTTACGTATTTATTACGATAATCGAAAAATAATCATCAAACGTAATATTATACAACTAATTAGCATCACAAGTAAGATAAAGAGGATAAAATATAAATCACTTTCACTTCCCTCTTGATGAAATTTAAAACAGATAATAAAAACTAAGTCACTTCCTAATGCAATAAAATTAAACCACTTTCTGATTTCCAGACGGCAAGACGCACCGCTAATGATCTTACTACCAGAAGGACAATTAAATAATTTTAACCAAAACAACGATCTCACGAAACAAGCCAATGTAAAAACGAAAACTAACGAACAAGATGAAACCAACGATTCTGTAGTCATAGATGCTGAACCAAATATGGAACCAAATCCTGAGACAGAACCAAAGAAAGCCATTCTACTCATTTCAAATAGAGGAAGATTGTCTATAGGAGGCTTGATATCTGCTATCCCGTTCCTTCCTATAGAAATCAACGTGCCTGACAGCATCTCCTGGATCTACAATGGAATCGCCGGTATCATATCCGGTATCGGTCAGCGACTTCCGTTCAAAAAGCCAATGCCAACGCCGACTCCAGAATCAGACCCCAGTCTAAGGTTGTTGATAAACCGATTGCAGAATAGGAACCAAAATGTTCAAGTGCCTATATTAATGTTGCCAGATGTGGCGCAAGTGTATCCGATGCAGGTTTGAATAAAAATATTATTGGTACATTGTATTTTTTGTTTTATGACTTATGATGATGTCCTTTACTTATTTTTTTCCTTATTATGAACATTTGGGATATGCCAAGTATGGACCAAGGTCCTACTCCAGTTTGCGAAGAAATAAACGCTGACCGTAACAGCGTATTACACTTGAAAATTTCGACGGGTTCATCCAGTGTCTAAGTAGCTCAGTTGGAAGAGCAGTCGCCCGGCAAACGGAAGGTCGTGGGTTTGATTCCCGCCTTAGGCAGTTCCATTGTTTCAAGTTATTTATACTTAATTTTCAAAATAAAATCGGGCCCGCCAAATTATTTATAACATAGGATTATTACTATTATGACTTATTGAGACTTACTGTTTCTAAATAATATAGGAACAAGGCAAATAAATACACCACAATGTAAGTGAAATGCTTTATTAAAAATCAAATCTTACAATTTCGACGTAGGCCATTGCATTTTTAACTTAAACTAAACTATGGTAACAAACTTAAATACAATCACAAGACCGGGTTCAAGAGTTTAACCAAATAAAGCATTTGAAACCAAAGTCGTTACACTATCAAACGCCGATCATTTCAAACTGTTGTCATAAATACTGCAATTTCAAATAAAAAATTTCAATAATTTTAATATCCGAGTCTGATATTGTAAGGAAGCCAATAGTCACGTAGGAAATTAACACAAGTAACTATAGTAATTTAACTAAATCTAAAATGGCAACGAAACTAGCTTCGACAGTCTAAATATTAGAAATCGATTACGCATTAAGAATTACGCATTACAAATAGTATAGTTTACATACAAATGTGCTTATTAGACTATCGAGTAGCTAAAGGCGATCACATACAACTAATATCCTGTATACCATGTTTGGTTCCAACCTACTAGCGTGCCGAATTAGTACGCGAAACCAATCGGATGGTTAATTTAATAATAACACTTGAACCTAGTGTTTCTAAATAACTTGAATTTTTTAACTAAATTATCTCAAAGTTTTCCGAATTTTTTTCATCTCTCTTACTCATCCCGAAATAAGTGCCTTAAAACGAGTGAGCAAGATAGTCGAAGGTAATACATGACAATAATAAATTATGTTTAAAAGACTCTCTGCAGATCTAAACATCATTTTCGAGTGTTAAGATCCCAAATAAGGGATTAACCCAAAACAACAATGGATTGTTCATAATGCTTCAACCACACCAACGCGTGCAGATCGCCATAGCCACGGTAATATTATCATACAGTATTGTAACTTCATATAAACGGACGAAACGCGAGCTTTCCTTCGAAATTCAAATCTCGGTATGCGCTCGACATGCAAAAGTCGGGGGTGTCGCGAATGTGCCACAGCAATAAACGGACGATGTGTTGTTTTTGAAACAGTAAGTGTTTTTTTTTATAAAAATATTTACAAGTACCTATTTATACAGGGTGTATGATGATATCAATTTTCTGACTTCACCATACCATTTATATGCACATGTTAAAATGGGCTAGTGTCCACTTGTAAACGCATTTACCTAACATTCTGTATAATAATCAAGCATTTTGTACGCCTTTAGTCGAGGCGCATACATTTTCGGTCGCAAATTCATAAGATTTGTTACTAAATCTTAACACAAATATATTTTTTTAATTAAATCTACTAATCACAAAACAACATGCATTATCCTATTACATTCACAAAGTATTTTGTTTGTCAAAATAAAATAAAAAATTACAATCGCAAAATACATCCACAAAACTAGATAGAAATTCTAAGTAGGCAGATGTAATGAAAATAGGGTCTGCAAGTGGGCAGCCCTATCGCATGTTGTCATACGGTGACATACCGCGCGGTTGTTGACATTTATTTCAAAAATATGTCCGAGTTGGAATACTGTATAGATAGTATTACCGTGCCATAGCCGATCACGTCGCAATCATAGGGAAATGACAGGTCGCGTGAACTGTCATGGCTCGCGCGACTGTCCTTGGCCTTTGGCGATGGCTATCTGCACGCGTTGGTGTGGTTGAAGCTTATGGGATTAACCCAAACCAAAAATGAATGGATTGTTCACAACTCAAATAGAAACACTAGGTGCAAACTCCTGTCTACTTCTTAAAATCCGCCGTGGGAGACGGTGTCGTGATCCACTGGGTGTCCAGCGCTGGCGCCGCCCTCCGCCTCGTTCTTGGGGACGATAATGGATACAGGGTAGTTGTAGCTGTAGAAGAAACCACGTGGGGGACCCTGAGGAGGAAGGTTAACTTATAGATTGACAATTTGGGGAATCGCAATCGCAAGATACGATTTTGTTATGATTACTCTAAGAATTGAAATTGCAGTTACAAAATTAGGTACTCGTAAATGTAGTTTTCTAGAACAGTCGACAAGTCTAAGGCTGTAAGTCCGCCACTGTACAGTTTTATGTGCAAAAGTATAAATCTAAATATATACCTATGTATAACTCAAAGGTGACTGACTGACTGACTGACTGACTGACTGACTGACTGACTGACTGACTGACTGACTGACTGACTGACTGACTGACTGACTGACTGACTAACTGACTGGCATAGTGATCTACAACGCACAGCCCAAACCACTGGACGAGTCGGGCTGAAATTTGGCATGCAGGTAGTAGATGTTATGACGTAGGCATCCGCTAAGAAAGGATTTTACGAAACTCCACCCCTAAGGGGGTGTAAGAATAATAAACATCCAGACATCCATACAAACTTTCGCATTTATAACATTAGAAAGAAGTAGGATATTCTGTACTTACAGTAGGTTCAGGTTCAGTGGTAGTGGTGTACTGCTGGTTCTGTTGCTGGTACTGTTGGTTCTGTTGTTGGTACTGATTCTGCTGCTGTCCGAACTGCTGGCTGGCCTGATACTGCTGGTTGTAGGCCTTGCCCTCACGCTGGGAATCAGGCTGGTACACCGTCTGCTGGACCTCTGAGGCTTGGGGCTGGTAGTCGTAGTTGTTGCCGTATGACCTGTGGGTGAAAAGTGAGTTTAGAGAAGGAAGGACAACGTGTTTCGTGATAACTTTGTTTTATACATATAACCAGAAAGATCTTGGCCTGCATCTCACCCAGTGGAAATTATTATAAAACTGAAAGTGGAAGCGAGCTTCGCCTGGAATTTTCAACCACAGAAAACTGAATAAGGCTATCTTACCTTCAACTACATAATAAATTAGCTGAATTTTCATAATTAGACTAAGCATGAAACTCCGTCATGAATGACTAATGATTTTCCTAATTAGGTACTCGTATTTTATGAATGCGAAATTCAAATTCAAATATTTATTTGCACAATTTTGGTTAAACATAATAAACAACTACCAACAAAATAAAGTTAAAATTTTTCAATGGTAATTAAATAAATAAACAGTGTAGCTCTACGAGACTAAGCCCACTTCTCGTTCCTACCACGGTAACTACCTGTAACTCTTGTAGAGTCTGGATCTAAGGGCTCAGCTGCCAATAAAACCAACCCAGTGAAGGTTGAACCGCCCCTAAAGATAGCTAGCCATCTTGGACCTTGCAAAAAACTTAATGACGGAGAATATATCAGATAAAGGACGTAGCACGTAGCACGTTGATACGGTTACGATACCGATGGGTTGATAAGTCAACCCATCGGTATCGTAACCGTATCAACTTGAGGCGGTCAGCATTCTTTGTATAAAACTCTCGCCTCGTGGTTAACAGCGCGCGAACGGCAATGACAGCTTGCGAAAGGCGATACGGTGTTGATCCCTTTCCGAGTTGATAGGTCAGCTGTTGTAGTGATTGGTGGATAGATGACTCACGCTGAACTGTCCCACCAAACTCAATGACAGGGGGGCGCTACCATCGTTCAACTTTATGGTTTCCAACATGGCAAAAATCGGAACCTGCGATCCGGTATTGACGGTGGCGCCCCACTATCAATGTCATGCATAAGACAGTTCAGTATTTTGGAACTATACTGTGGTGAATAAACTTACTGAGGATGAGCGTTAGGGTGCAGGTTGGCGTCAGCAGCCTCCTTCCAGGCTTTCTCATGGGCGATGCGAGCGGCCCTCACGGCAGCTGTCTCTTGCACCGGCTGCGGCACCAGCTTGGGGAGGTTGTCTTCTTGGTGGAAACCTTGGCTGTCGGCCCAGTAGCGGACCTGGAATAATAGGCAATGTTGGAATGGGAATAGAAGCCAATTTGGAATAGCCAGTTTTTCAGTCGTGAATCGGTATTTTTAATAATAGTGCTTTTGATTAAGGGAGATTCTGAATGGTCTACAGTCTTAAGACAGTGATAATTTACCGAATGGAAATCAATCTGGAATAGCCGATTTTTCAGTCGTGAATCGGTATTTTTAATAATAGTGCTTTTGATTAGGGGAGATTCTGAATGCTCTACAGTCTTAAGACAGTGGTAATTTACCCATATTAGGTAACATTTAGGTAGCCTGCTCAACTCAGCTCGTAATATGTTATTAGATTACAATTTGACGCTTTTGCTATGAATAAAACGTAAGGAAACTTATAAAGGAGCAAATAAAATTTATAATTTTAGCTTTACTTTATAAACTTTCTAATTTTACAGTACTTATTTTTATTCTGTAATTTTATACTACGACTGAAATTGTGCTAAGGCTATAGAGATCCAATTTTAGAAGGGATTTAATAAAAGACAAATACATACTCGTAGATCAAGACGACAAAAATAAGACTGCTAGTTTCCAAATTACTCGAAGAGTCAACTAAAAAGGTGAAAATCTGATGGAAAGGATCCAAACCTTAATATCCTCGTGTCCTGGAGACTTGTAGACGTAGGAGCCGGTGACGTCACCAGCCCTTACGCGGTTCTCCACCTTGGCAGACTCGGGGGTCTTGTAGCCGTAGGTGTAGGCGCCGAGCCCGTCCTGCCCGTGGTACTGGGAGGCGTCGTACACCTGCAAATTGTATAAGTGGAATAGAGAATGCAATTAATTGATCGATTTGAAAGCCTGAATCAAATTCCGTTAAGCCTATGATTGGTCATATCGAAACTTCGAAACTGCCATAGGCTTGAACGTGAATCCAGCTTCTGGTGTCATTTCATAATAATGACTCTACCCTTACCAATATAAAGTTTCTGATATTTTTGTTGCATAATATTAATGTACTACAGACGATATCGCATCAAGCTCAATTCGATCAAGATCTATAAAATACGTAAAAGATGCTGTTCTGCAGCGGATTTGCCTAGTCTGTGTGGTCAACTATGCTGACAACAGCACATCCGACTACACATTTTTGTTGCAATTTGGCATCTATTCCAACTACATAAGATAACGCTGTATTTATCTTGATGTGCAGTCGTCTGAAAATACAGTTTTTTTTTACCTCTTCAATGTAGTCGTCAGTGTTTTCGATTTCGCGTCCATTCTTCCAGTAGTGTCCGAGAGTGGGGCCAGCTTCGGCGGCGCGAAATCTGGGGTCGTTATATCTCACCTAGAATACAAAATACAAACACGACATTAGACCAAGTATTTTACATTTGTGGAACAACACCCAGAGGTGAGTCGAAAGTCAAGGCTGACTAATTAAGTATTCTGTATTCAGCTACAGTATACACGAAAACAAGTAATCGAGATCAATTGGTTGGATGAGCTAAATAAACAAAATCTCGTAGATTTTTAAATAATCCGACAATCTAAATGTATGCATCATTCTGCACCAATTTAGTACGGAACACCTGCTAAATCTTTAAAAGGAAGTCGTAGATATTCTTTCAAATGAAAGCTCTTCTATTATCTCAGGGTTTTCTTCACAAGTTCTTATGTAAAATTCAGAGTGAAAAGTTTAATTAATTTGCCTATAATGTATTTATTTATTTATTCGATCACCAACAATGTTACATTGAGGCTTCACAAAAGTAACTATAAAAAATGACACTTGTTAAATGCAAACTTAATTAAAGGTGAAAACATCATGCGTTAGAGACTAAAGCAACAGCAATTAGGGGTTAAATGTAATGTACTCATATTGTACTTCGCTAAATTAAATTAAAAAAGTCAGTGTCAAATATTACCAGTGGCAAGACAGCAGTCCTCCCGGCCAGCTGGGGCTCTGTGAAGGGAGGGCTGTTGAGGTACTTCTGAGCCTCCTCCGGGGTGATGTCGATCTCGAAGATATTGGTGGGGTTCGGTGCCCCTGATGTTAGCGCCGCCTGGAAAGGACAAGCATTTTGAGTAAATAGAAAAATCTACGAATATATTAGTACAGTCCACGAGTATTAAAACCGTTCCCACGGTAACCCAGTTTTACAGGATCCAGTAATGCGTGTCGTGTGAACACACAAGGATATGTTGGAAATTCGAATGGATTGGTTTTTTGTAGGATACTACAACAAAGAGGAGGTTCGTGTGGACGCTAATATTAAAACACGTACATACTACTAAACGGGATCCTGCATAAAACAGGTTATCTCCGTTGGAACAAGTCCTTAACAGTTGCAGGATAATAATAAAGTAAATTAGGTTACACTGTGCCAACAGGCCCCCAAACATTTTCTTTTTCAGATCTGAAATGTAGCAATCTTATTTCGCAATCATCGAAGATATTGCTGGTGAACCTAGACAATGAACTACTATTTACATAGGTCATATTGCACATAACGGCTGGTAGGTATATAACTTAGCTATGGCACACTCTAGCTTGCTATTCGTCCAAGTTCGTTCTTAGGACAATAACATCGATAAGTTTTCCTCAAATTAATGTTCTCATTTAATTACATTTGAATATTGCTATTATTTATTTGTAGCTTGGTCGTAAAGAACGTACCTATACTCCTACTCAAAATTTTTCCATCCTCAAATCTGTACAAACTATAATAGCAATATCAGAATCGATGTATCTTTACAAGCTTATACTCAAAATTGGCTGCTTTCTCAATCAAGGTCGTATTTTACGCCCTTTAAATTCTTCTTCCCAATAACACCTTTTTGAGATTCTCACGCAATACGTTAAAATTCCGAAACGTAGCACGCACATGACTCTACAAATAAAACAGCAAGTTACGTCGAACCGAAAACATAATTTGAGTCATCCTATAATTTAAACACAACTGCCCATTGATGAGCCGGACCTCGTTCACTATACCAGACTTATATCTTCTTTAACATATTTCAATACATTACAGTAGGTAAGGTAAGTACTTCGTTGGTGTCGTAATTTCTTATTTCTTATGTAACCTTCTAGCGAGTTTAATACTATAATTTGGTTTTAAAATTTTCTTGGATTTTAAACAGCCAATACCCTAGGTATAGTGCATTAGAAGAATAAAATTAGTTATATAAATTGGTGGAGACCTTATAGATATAAGGTTAAGGTAAGTTATAATAAGTCACCCTGTGGTGACAGGGAAACTATAATATTATTTTAAAGGGGTTATAATATATTATTGGAGATCAATACTTAGCAACAAATTAAGTCCTCTAAGGCCCTCCCTCTAACAGATTAGTCATGTTCTGTTTTTAAAAAACCTCAGAAGTACCGTCCGTTCTAAATAAGGCCCAATAGAACAGGGACAAACTCTGTTCGTGCTACTCATTAATATCTTATTTCAGTTTATTTCAGGAATATTCCATGCATGATTAAGATTTATGTCTTTCTGCATAACGCGTGAAGTGAGGACTCCGTGACACAGCTCCGAGGTCGACGGTTATTGCTTGCACAAATAATGTGGCTTGTGCAAATATGTGTCACCGCGTTGAAAACGAACGTGATAGATTCTTCTTATGGATTTGTACGTTTGCAACAATAAGCGTAAGTGTGATGTGGCCTTGATAAACGCTAAATGCTCTTGCAATAAGTCCTAGTTCTTAAACAAATGCCTAGTTCTAGGAACAAAAAAATATTTGCCAGTTTTAAAATTTTTTTACTTAGTAAAGATATAGGTAATTCAGTCAATTAAAGATCATTAAACCTCGCAGAAGTGTGACAACACAATTTATTTTACAATTTCGCTTGTAGGTAAGTACCTAGTTCTTGGCTCGAATACCTAGTTCTTAAAAACACAAAACTCCTATTCAGCTCTTTATGTACTTTGCACCTAGTATATACTTATTTGCAGTCTAAAGTCATGTATTAACACTGTTGAGAACTCCGTGTCTATACTAAAGGCACTAAAATACTAAGTTTAGGCACTTAGTTAAACTACAAAACAGGCACAATAAATCAAATGTGTCTTCTACGGACACGCTTAACCCTTAACTGGTATCGTAAATTGGACATACGTAACTGGTATCGTGGGGGCCGCGCGGCCCCCATACTATGTTTGCTTCTAGCAAGCAAGTTTTACCTATATACTTGAATAAATGCTCATAACTGATTTATATCGGGCTTGTTCTATATAATCATTTAGTTTTTATTGTATTAAATCTTCTCACTTATATACTTCAAAACATTACATACAACATGATAGTAACAACTTTTTACGTAATATTTTTTAACGTTACAAATATCTATGAAACCTACCGTTTAGAAAGTTATAACCAAAAATATTATTATTTTAATTAATCCATAATAATGTGAACTTAATAATAAATAATGTTTGAATGTAATATTTCATAAAAATAATAAGCATTTTCAATAAAAACATAAATATTATGTTGACAAACATTAGCAGGTGCTGGTGGATTTTCAGACCACTTGTATTTATTTTTTCATAGTAGCTGGATTGACTAGGTCCTACAACATCTTCATTTTCACTCTCTGAAGAAAAAACTTGAAAATCAGAATCAATATCCTCATTATCGACCGAATATTGGTTATTGGGTCTTCACAATGACCTATAATTTTATTATCACTATATCCTTCTTAAGACATGCTACTAATCTCTAATTTGGAATCAAAAACTTCGTTCTAGGTATCTTCTATTGTTTTATCACTTATAAGCCACCAATACTGCAAAAAATTAAAAAACAAATAAAAATTGCCACGAAAAAAAAACTAACGTAACTGGTATTGTGGGGGCCGCGCGGACCCCAACACGTGCATATCTTCGTCCTGGTGAATGATGCAGTGCTGAAACGCCTGCACCAGACGCGAGTAGCGCCGAAATCAGAATACCAAAAATTTTGGCTGCCCACGATGCGTAGCTTCTTAGAAATCAAAGAAAACGTCATGCGTGGGGGCCGCGCGGCCCCCACGATACCAGTTAAGGGTTAAAAACGTTTAAAGACGGCAAAGATCAGTGACTAAAATCTCAAGTACCTACACATCCAATAAATTATGCCTAATCACATTGCCAAAATGGTCCGTGACACTCAATTGAATCCAATCGGTTCCGGAAAATCGTCTTAAAATAATAATGTCTACTATAATAGTGATGTTGACATACATTCCGCTGACCGATTCGCGTCGCACTTCTTATTTGTATTTGTATGAGACTTGCGCACAAAAGGCGCGTACGTTTTGTGTGTCGCGCTTTGTGATGTGAGGGAGGTGCCATTACGGTTAGGAGGTTGTCATGCAGAATTGGGTGATGAATTCATTTGGTTAGGCTAAACTGGAAGGCTACTTTGAATAGGTATAGAGTCAGTATGGCAGATTTTTTCTATTTACCGATTTTCCCACGAGCCGGAAGACGTAGCGTGGGCAGGCCTCCCTCTAGGTGGACCAACGATCTGGTGAATGTCGCGAGAGGTGCCTAGATGCAAGCGGCGCAGGACTGGTCTTTGTGGAAATCCTTGGGGGAGGCCTTTGTCCAGCAGTGGACGTCTTTCGGCTGAATGAACGAACCGATTTTTCCAGGTTTTGTCCCGGAGCCGGTACAGCTACAGTTGTGTAGAGGCTGTATCAGTCATGTCNTTTGTCAAAATAAAATAAAAACAACAATCGCAAAATACATCCACAAAACTAGATAGAAATTCTAAGTAGGCAGATGTAATGAAAATAGGGTCTGCAAGTGGGCAGCCCTATCGCATGTTGTCATACGGTGACATACCGCGCGGTTGTTGACATTTATTTCAAAAATATGTCCGAGTTGGAATACTGTATAGATAGTATTACCGTGCCATAGCCGATCACGTCGCAATCATAGGGAAATGTCAGGTCGCGTGAACTGTCATGTCTCGCGCGACCTGTCATTGGCCTTTGGCGATGGCGACCTGCACGCGTTGGTGTGGTTGAAGCTTATGGGATTTAAACCAAAACAAAAATGGATTGTTCACAAGTCAAATAGAAACACTAGGTGCAAACTCCTGTCTACTTCTTAAAATCCGCCGTGGGAGACGGTGTCGTGGTCCACTGGGCGTCCAGCGCCCTCGGCCTCGTTCTTGGGGACGATGATGGACACTGGGTAGTTGTAGCTGTAGAAGAAACCACGTGGGGGACCCTGAGGAAGAAGGTTAACTTATAAATTGACAATTTGGGGAATCGCAATCGCAAGATACGATTGTGTTATGATTACTCTAAGGCTGGGATGCACCATCTTACTTTGACTTTGACAAACGTCAAAAATCTGTCAAATTCCATACTAAATGCACCGGTTATCGTCATCGTTCATTCGTCCGTTCGTTTCAGTTAAATGACGTCCACTGCTGGACAAAGGCCTCCTCCAAGGTTTTCCACAATGCACGGTCCTGCACTGCCCGCATCCAGGCTCTTCCCGCGATATTTACCAGATCGTCGGTCCACCTAGTAGGAGGCCTGCCCACGCTACGTCTTCCAGCCCGTGGTCGCCACTCGAGAAATTTTCTGCCCCAACGGCCATCGTCTCTACGAGCTATGTGCCCCGCCCACTGCCACTTGATTTTAGCAATTCTGCGTCAATCGTCATAGTCACCGTTAAAGTTAGGTGGTGCAACTCAGCTTAAGAATTGAAATTGCAGTTACAAAATTAGGTACCTACTCGTAAATGTAGTTTTCTAGAACAGTCAACTAGTCTAACGCCCGTTAATTTCACAAATATTACTATGAGGTCTCACAGTGTAAGTGAACGCACAGGCTGATACGAACCAATCACAGAGCTCTGTATAACGCTGTGCGTTCGATTTGCAGCTTCCAAGCATCGTTTGTGAATACAGGCGTCAATTATCGGGATCCACGAGTACGAAGTCGCGGGCAGCCGTTAGTCTACAACCGACATTGCTATGCCCTAGGGTTCATATGTTATCTGTCAAACTTATGTAGCACCTTTATACATACTATAAGCAATAAAGTATT